ATATATATAAAGAGATTATTTTAAAAATAATTTGCAAATTTAATAGTAATAGTGCCTTATAAAAGAGTATTGTGTATAGAATTAGAAAGAGTAATGCTCAGAGAATTTATTTCAATTGATTGAATAGGGTGTGCGAGAGTTGTAAATTCTTTTTAGTACACGTGTTTAATTCTCATGAATAAAAAATAAATTACTAGTTAAAAAATACTATTGCCTTAAGTTTAAATGGTAATTCGTTATTTTCAATTCGAAATTTGGGACCAAATTTTTGATGATATAACATATAATAGTGTATTTTTTTAATGGTACAAAAGTAGTAATGCATCTAATAATACATTGGTTGCAACATATTGAATAAAAAATAATAAGTATCATATTAAATGGTATGAATTGGTTTGAGGTTGTTGTACCTTAGTTAGTAATTTTGAATTCAAATTTTAAATATATATAACTATGTTAAATATTTATAGCGAGACTAAAAATATTGTGTATATACATTAGTCATAAGTTTTAAAAATTATATATTCGTTGTGAATACGTAATTCTATTTTGGTATTTTGGTAATATTTATATGATTTATGTTATTTTGGAAAAAGGAACAACGACAAAATATATTTTTTCTCCATAAGTATTAAACAGGATCTCTATCCAGTGATCCCCTAAAGATTTGTTTTTCTTCTTCAAGATCCATTACCCATTTATTTTGGAGTAGAGACTCTATTTGGTCCTCTGATCCAACTTAAATCCAATCATTGACTCACAAATCAAACCCAACTCAATAATCCACATCTGTTCATCACATATTTCCTAGTTGTGATTAGCTCTCATAAATAAATAATCTTTAATGAAAACTATATTTTCATTTTCATTTTAAATTTACTATTTTCTCATCTTAACTTTAATTGTAATATTTGTATAATTAAATTTTTTTTTTTGGTAATGGAGGGGGCTAAAAGCCCAGAAACACAAACTCAACTAAGAACCGCATTATCTGCGGCTAACAAGGAAAGTATAAAGTTAGGAGGGGAATGAAAGATTTTCATATTCTCCTCTAACCTTGATCTAAGTCTAGCTAACTTATCAGCCACTAGGTTGGCTTCTCTAGCTATATGGGAATAAGAGAAAAAGGAAAAATGTAGAGTTAAGTCATTAATTGACTTGACGAGATCATAGCATGGATGCCCTCTATTGCATCCTTCTTCAATCAATTTGACTGCCTCCTTAGAATCTGATTCAATAGAAATTTGCCCTCCTAGATGATGATTTTGAATAAGACGAAGCCCTAACAATAGAGCCCAAAGCTCGGACTGAATGATCGAGCAGCGTCCAAGATTTTTTGAAAACGCAATGATAAATCTACCTTCAGAGTCTCTGACAACACCACCACATGAGCCATATCCATCTTTAGTGACTGCGCCATCCCCATTAAGCTTGATGAACCTTTCTGGAGGGCGTTTCCAATGGTCAGAACTAAACAGAGGGGTCCGCATACAGGCCGCCCCTGTTAAGGTAGCTGCAACAAATGAATCAACTCTCGCTCTTATCTCCCCCACCACCTGATCTACTGATAGAATGGAGTTTTGGAAAATTAATTTATTTCGGCGATACCAAATTGAGTCAAGAGTAAAGGCAAATGTGATGGACAAATTTGGAGTTACTTGACTGTTCCTTGTCAAGTTTGAAATTATCCAACTCTGAAATTCTCCATTTATTGACCTGCTAACTGCCGCTCCACCTGGAATTTTACTCCAAACTTCCTTTGCAAACTTACAATCTCGTAACACGTGGATAATATCTTCTTCTCCTTGCCTGCAAATGGAACAGGTAGAGTCTAGTCCAAGACCTCGTTCAAAGCGAGTCAGGTTGGTCATGAGGCTATCGTGTATTACTCGCCAAAGGAATAAGCAAATCCTCTCAGGGCCTTTCCACTTCCAAACTACTCTGAAAAATGCCGATTGAGAATTCTCACGGGGAGGGGAAACAACATCAAATGCTGATTTAGTAGTGAAAATCCCATCAGGAGTAGGGCCCCAGATTATTTCATCAGAACCATTATCAACAATTGGAGGGTGAAGACACTGAATTTTCTCAAGCGTTTCAGAAGGCAGCCAAGCTTGTAACCTTTCAATATTCCATTCTCTCGTATCGGTTATGTAGTCGCGCACTGTCTTAAAGAGTTCCACGGGAGGAATGAATGTTAAGGCCTTCTGGATGATAGTCGTCTGCGTTGGTAACCATACATCATACCAGAATCTTATAGATTGTCCATTTTTCACCCTCCATTGTATGTGAGGAACTACTAGGCTCCAAGCAGCACAAATACCTTGCCAAAAATTTGACATTTTGCTTTTTTTTTCAACGCGTGGTATGATTTTGTCGAGACAGTTATATTTTGATCTAACAACTTGGACCCAGAGTTTATGCGGTTCTGTTGTTAGACTCCAACAATTCTTCATCATATAAGTTGTGTTTATATCGCGCATGGATCGTAAACCCAGTCCCCCATTCTCTTTAGGTTGACACACCGTAGTCCAGCCAATTGCATGATAACGTCTCTGATTATTAGTTTCTCCCTATAGGAAATTACTACAAAGACGATCCACCTCATCACAAACGCTACGTGGTAAAAACACAGATTGCATAGTGTAAGAAGGTATAGCTGATAACACCGATTTACAAAGAGTGAGCCGACCTGCAAAAGAAAGTGTAGAAGATTTCCATCCACTTAGTCTCTTGTTTACTCGTTCAATGATCCCTTGGTAGTCTCTTCGGCAAACTCGTGAGTGATGAGCTGGGATGCCCAAGTATTTTCCAAGATTATCCGTTCGTTGGAAGCCAAAAGCCGAGCTAACCTCGTTACGAACTATATGAGATACGTTCTTTGAAAAATAGATCCTCGTTTTCTCAATGCTCACCTTTTGACCCGAGCTGGCACAAAAGTGATTCAAACATGATTGTATTACCTCTACTTGGTCTAAAGTTGCTTCGGCAAACAAAATTAGATCATCAGCAAAAGCAAGATGGGATAAAAGAGGCCCATCTCTAGATAACCTGATTGGTTTCCACTGCTGAGAATCCACTGTTGTTGTAATGAGATGAAATAGGCGCTCCATACACAAAACGAAAAGATAGGGCGATATTGGGTCTCCTTGGCGGATACCACGGGATGGGACAAACTCCTCAAGTGCTTCTCCGTTCCACAACATGCGGAGTTTGGGAGAGGAGATAGAAACCCATACAAGGTTTACAAACTGATTGGGCAGACCAATATCCAAGAGGGTGTCTTTTACAAAAGACCACTTCAATCTGTCATAAGCTTTCTCAAGATCGATTT